TTAGCCCATTTGTAACTTTCCAAAATCAAAGTTCTAATCACCCTTTTGCTGTTTATTCCAATTTTTTTTAAAAAAAAAAGAAGTGTCAGGTTCAGCCCAAGAATCACATGAGACAGTCTGGAAAGCAGTTCAGCTTTTTTATTTGCTAGCACCTAAAGGACAGAATCTTGCCAGACTAACTCTAATTCCTCAACGAAAGCAACCATAACCACTAAGCTCTTAGGGAGGGGCCAGTCTCATCCCCTTTACTTTCACACAGTCCAGCTGGGGGCTGAGGAGATACTTGGAATATCACTCCCCCTCCCTGTAACCTTGAAGCTGGGAATCCCCTGGGCTCAAGCCTTCCATCACAAGAAGATTTATATTTAAAACTTCTTTTGCTAAGAAGGATTTCAGGAAACTCACCCAGTGTTTTCAGACTTGTTGATCCAAAGGTTCCTAATAGCTGAAAAGCAATTAACAAGCAAGTTCTGAAAGTGATTAGAAAATGAAGCATGTGAACCCAGTGTGCTTTTGAAGGCGCCGACCATGGTCTGAGCAAGATGGCTATTCCCTTGTCTCCCAGAGCTCTAAACCTGCCAGAGATCGCAAGGGCAACTGTCTGGAGTCCTTGTGGGCAATCTCAAGCCCTCTCCTTGTCCGGAGAGGAATTATGAAGAGCTGGCCTACTCGCCAGCTCTTCATTCTACTGTGGTTGTCGGCTCCACTTTTAGCAGAGCTGTATTCAATTCACCATTTCTTCCCTGGAAGTGGAAAATAAATAAATACATTGTAATAAATAAAAAGCAAATGTATTAAAAATAATGTATTCTCATTCATGGCAGTTATTAATGGCTCCTAATGCTATAGCGTAAAGCAGAAGACATTGCAAGTAGCGGTTTTGTGTTGGGACTTCTTTCGTTCAATATGTTTAAACAGTGGCAACTTCCTGACTCAAATCAATCTTTGCTCAGTATCTTATGGGATAAAAAAGCAGTGCAGGTGCGCTGGCTTTGCGCTTAGATGCCATAGTCAGAATCACAGAACCGATTCCTTCCTTTAACCTTTCTGGGATTAACATTTGTGCCATTAACCGTTCTTCGCTTTGCCTCCCGTGTTTGCCAGCTCTTAGTCTAATTATCTCTGTGAAATTTTTGAATGCAGACTAGCTCTATTTAGTTGTGAATTTAAAAAATGGGACGTGCAACTAAAAGATAAAAGAAGTTATCTCCTCCTGAAAGCAGCGCTCCTTTCAGCATGCTTTGCCCCTCTCACTTCCCACCCTTTGAGGCAGTTCAAACCAGGGAGAGAGCTTAATGTGGAAAAAAGCAAGCAGGAAACTGATGTGCCACATTCTTTGGCTACTCAGCATGCTTAGTAGCATCTTCATCAAACTACAGATTCATTGAGGCTAGATGGGAGGCTCCCTTACCAACCCTTCTTTAGGAGTGACTCTCAGGGAGGAGGTGCCAGAAGACCAAATATCCACATGGCTTCTGTATACATATTTTTAGGTTGCAAGCCAGGATATTAAGAGTCTGTCACTTGACCAAGCCAAGGGCCTTTACTTAAATTTAAATTAATGGATTGTCCAAAAAGCAAATAAATGATTAATCTCACATTTTGCTGCTTTACTAGGCAGGTCCAGAATGTTCTCAGTGTGAAGAAGCATGTTCCAAGCCACGACCACCTGGATGTTCTCATGCATGCCCTCTGCCCTGTCATCCTGGAGCATGTTCACCGTGTGCTCAAATGATCCGAATAAAATGTCACTGCAAACTGACAAGCCTGTACATTGAATGCATGTATGTAATTAAATAATTTTTTTGTTTCAACTTTTAGTAATTAAACTATTATTATTTGGTTTCTGCACTGCTATGCTGGGATGAGGGTTTTCCCCCCAGTTCCCTTCTCTTTCTGAATAAATAGAGCAAGAAGCTTCTGGTGGGAGGCAACTGAACCCATGGGATGTTTTAATGGCTGTGTTTAGTCTGGACTGCTTTGTTTTGTTTTTTATGTTTTAATTGTTTTAAACTAATATTGTATTTTGTAGGCTGCCCAGAGTCCACTGGAGTGGGTGGCTGTATTAGATGATGATGATGATGATGATGATGGAGGTTTACAAACAAATTGGGCACACATAGGTCTGTTTGGAACTGCCAGGCAGGGCTTATCCCCCAACCCCACCCTAAACAGACTCAGAGGTGGTTTTAAAGGTGGTTAGAACACTAGATGGAGGTACCGGTTTTTCAGGATTTTATTTCAGTCTTGGTCAAACAACTTGACATGCTGGGAGATACTAATGAAGTAGAAGGGTCTGCCATTTTACTGCACTAGCATCTCATACTGGCTGGCTCATCTGTCTTTTTGACTTCCTTTTGCTTGCTGCTTATGCTTCATATTAGACATAGAAGGCCTGATGTGAAGGGTTTAAAGGTTAAAACTAGGACTGTTATTTCTGGGCATACTGGGTTAATGGCCAGTTTATCCTGTCTGTAATTATCAGGCTAGTTTAAATCAACAGCATTTTTACCAAACACATCTGAGATTCACTGGGTATTTCAGGTGTTGCCTTGTCATGGTAGAACCTCTTATTTTATTCTAATATACAGTATCATGAGGTACAATTAAATGTATCACGTGATCTGTGTTTAATTGTTCAAACTCAGTCTCACGTTATCCTTTGTTTTCTCAGTTCAGAATAGATCTGTTTGCTGATATCTCTCAAAATCTACTAGTAACTTGACTTCCTGGTTATTTTATCTTTTTAAAAAATGATCACTGATCTATATTTTTTTAGAAAAATCACTAATGCTGACCTACAAGAAAAAGAAGAACTGTGTTCATGCAAAAACCAGTGCCCCAGAGAGGTAACCCTATAAGGAAAAGCATTTAGAACTATTTATGGCAAGAATGGAGTACTGAAAATTGATAAGTGGTGCCATGGCAGATCTTAAAAGCGACCTAGACCATGTATATCCACTGACAAATGCACCCAGTGATGCTGCTTTAGTTCTAAAAGCAGATGGGGAAGAATAAAAGAGCCGCGGGTTGATCTGAATGGTAAACTCCCAAGTACTGTTTAGCTTCTGGTGACCACATGGGTGGGTGCACCCACACTGTTTTCTTTGTATTGGCGCGGAAATGGTTCTGCCTTAAAATGAATCGGACGGAAAATTTCTTTGCATCATTGGCTCAGAGTACAAGGAATTTAAGTGTATAAACAACAAATGCAAGTAAGCAAAACTAAGCGTTTGTGTTTCACGTCAGACCCATATATTTCTTTCTGACGTTACAGCTATCTTGTGGTCATCGATGTAAAGAGATATGTCATCCAGGGGAGTGTTGTCAGAATTGCAATCAGAAGGTTAAGGTCCGTTGTCCTTGTAAGAGACTCAAAAAGGTAAGCCATATTTACGTGGTAAACTGAATTATAAACAAGGTTATTGTATCCCATGTATAGGTGAAAAGTGATTTACCACTGGGGGGCTTTCTGGAGCAATTTTAGGGGGTCACACAGGGAACTCTTGTTCCACAAGGATAAATCAGCTCATCCTTTATTCACTATTTGATTAAACTGTATTTAAGCCATTTACGTATGTTGCCCATATAATACTTCTTCTGGGATGTCTTAGAAACAAAGCAATAATAAGATAATTACATACCTTATATTATTGTGTGTGTTGTTACCAATAATAACCACACACATAAAAAGGATAACAGATGTCTGTAAACTATAACTCAGAATAAAACAATCATACACAAAACACACTGGCAGTAAAAATAATATTGTTAAGAGATAATTTGATGGATTGTACAGGCATTTAAGAATATTATATTATTGTGGTCAAGAATAAATATGTAAATAGAACAAGTCTAAGTGGCCAGAAAACCTGATTAAATAGTGTGTGTGTGTGTGTGTGCGCGCGTATGAAATGAGTGTGAATGTCCTATTAAAAAGTACAGTATAAAAAAGTGACCCGTAGATTTGGTGGTTTCAAATCCACGTAGGCAAAGATGGGCTGCATATGAGATTTTTTTAAATTGCCTTTTCAGAACAGCTGCGGAAGCACATTGAATCATAAAGCTCTTCTACTTTAGGCACCATAATTTGATTCAGGCATCCAGCTGGTCTAATACTATAAAGTTGGCTTCTTAAGAATACCCCTCTAGGGAGGCATAGATGGTCCAGTGGCCCTTTCCACTGGAGGGAGCTTTATTGTCTTGTGAATTACTCTGAATAACTTTGAAGATATTTCTAAGGGATTTTGATTGTACCAAAATTAATTTACAATGTTACATTTATGTAGCAACTCTCAAATGATTCTTCTGTAAATTCTGAAGAGTTGTGGTGGTGCAGATACAACTGGTTGGTAAAAATTCTGTCCAGAATGAGAGGAATTGCCTTGAGTGTGGTTATTGTGGAATCCTCTGCAATTAATTGTGTTAAATTTGGAGTTCAGCATTCTGCTGGGAAATACCTAATATAGTTTAGCTCAAGAATGATTAATCCAGAATAAAAAGAGGAAATGTGTATTCCTGACTAATAACCAGGAGGTCATAATTGATTACATAAAAATGGACCAAGAATGATGGTTAAACGTGTGAATTCTAATGTATTTTACAGCAGACATTCTGCAAGCCTCAACACAGCTGTGGTGTCATCATTACACTTGAAATAAGCAATATAATGAACAAGTAATTTTGCCTTTTATGGCTTTTTTTTTCCTGAAGCCATGCATTTTCACTTGTCTCTATTCTATAAAGGGACAGTTGCTTAAATTTAAAATAAATCTAGATTTTCAAAATGTCTTTATAATATGTTTCTGTATTATCTAGATGTAATAATATGTTAAAAGACCAAGCTAGTTGTACATTTATACTATACTGCTTTTCCTTTTTTTAAAAAAATTAGTTCATTATAATCACTAATATGAATATTTTTACTGTATCATATTTCATTTTCTTTGTTAAATTTCACTATAATCTATAATAAGACTACAGTATATTGAAAAAAATAAAAGCATAAATGTAGGAAATAATTATATATTGTATAATTTAACTGGGGTTTAGTGCTATATTTTTAGG